ACAAGTTGGGCGAGGGAAGAAAGACCACAATAATGTAAAATGTGTTTGTGGGTTTTTTCAAGCGTTTTGAGAAAAGAAATAAATGGAAAACTATGATCACCAATGTCTGTTTCAGATTTGGCACAAGATGTTGATGATGATGATGATGATGATGATGACGATGATGATGATTATATTCAGAATGTTCCAGATGAAGCCCGTTAGGGGGGGGAAACGAACTTGGAAATTAAATATTTTGGAAAAGCTACCAAGTCTTAACCTTTTTACTATCTGATGATGATGATGATGATGATGATGATGATGATGATGATGATGATGATGATGATGATGATGATGATGATGATGATGATGATGATGATGATGATGATGATGATGATGATGATGATGATGATGATGATGATGATGATGATGATGATGATGATGATGATTACCTTTACATTAATATTAATGTTTATATATGATTTGACGTACATACTATTTTATATCCATACCACTTCTTGCTATAGCTTTCAATTTTCTCTGATCTTCCCGATTTGTTTTTATCCCCCCTTTTGGCATTCTGACGTGTATGCGCGCACTTTTGTTGCTATAGCTTGTAGTCTATAAGATTTTACTTTTTTTTGTATCGTGTTCCTAACGAAGCCCTTTACAGAGCGAAACGTTGAACCTGTATTAAATTTGAAAAATCTACTTAGTCCCAACCCTTTTTTTATTCCCTGCTACTAACAGATGATGATGCGAGAGGACATGGTTGGGGGGGGGGGGTATTCTTTACTTTTACCCAGAATTATGTGAACTACTCTGCACAAAAAAGGCAGTGCTTGGCTCAGTAGGTTGCCCACAGACGGAATGTTGAAAAAAAACAACAGAGAGACAATACACTTAAATACATCATAATACCCCAAGAATCATAGACGTTTATATGTATATATATAAACTCATCCTACCGCCAGATGGGATGCACCTTATGTCGGTGTTCACTTATCTGACCACTCGATGGAAATAGTTCCCAACATGGAAATCAAACAGTGATTCTTTGCAAGCTCGACGAAGTGTTGTTTTAACCATTAAGCAATGTATCTACACAGGTTCCAGCTGTCTGCGTATGTTCTTTTTTGTCTTCTTTGCGTTTCCCTGCTAGATCTTTGGAGTAATCGACTGCTGGTTCTTCAACCTGAGGTGCAACTGATTGTTAAGTGTGTGGCCGTTTTTCTTACTTGGTAGGCCCCTCTGTCTTCAAGATTAAAGCAGCGATATTCCAATGCCAAAGATACTCTTTATTATTCCATGTATGTTTTAACCTTGAGTGACTAGGGATATTGGGGTGGGGTGGAGGAAGAGGATAAGTTGGGGGGGGGGGGGGGGTCTTATGGGAAAAAGTACGGGCGATCTTACCAGAGGCGCCACCTGGCAAGCAAACTGTCCAGGTAGGATAGGGTTGGGCAAACACTGTTGACTTTGGTCAGTACAACATCTCAAACTGGGCGCCGGGTTGTTCGGTACACATGGGGTGTTCACCGGGAGACACTGGCGAAAGAAATACTGGTTTAGAAAACATGAATAAGAGCCAACTCACACTTTTGTTTCTTTTTCTTTTTTGTCCATTATTTTAAGGAATTTGTTTTACAAATTCATTCTCTGACTTTTATAAATCAGTCAAATCCCGATCAACAAACAAGAGAAAAAAAGGAAAGCACAAAAGAAATGTGTCAAACCACGGTACATCATGAAAATTCTAAGTAATTAAAATCATTCAACCCTTACACGTGAAACAGCAAATGACAAAAACATCCTCAAACAAACAAACAAACAAACAAACAAAAACACAGCTACATGCCACCAAAGAGCAGCACCCTGCTTTTGCTTTAGGATTAAAGCAAAATTTTTCCTTGGACATTGTTTGACTTCTTGTGATCAAGTTCACTGTCCACTCAACCAGAGGAGCTCCAATAATAATTATAAAATGTGCACATGTATATGTGTGATTGTGTGTGTGTGTGTGTGTGTGTGTGTGCGCGTGTGTGTGTGTGTGTGTGCGTGTGTGTGTGTGTGTGTGTGTGTGTGTGTGTGTGTGTGTGTGTGTGTGTGTGTGTGTGTGTAACAAAAGCAACACCAAGAATAACACACAAAGACGTCCGCAAGTAAAGAAACCAATTAACCAAGGAAGGGCACGCCACTAGCTTAGTAGGTACGCGCAGTCTGGATTATGGTGCGGACGGTGCTGGATCAACCGCTTTGTGTTTTAAAAAGGGCACTAATACTACCTTTGAGGTTCTGAAATCAGGCATCACAAAACTCAAACAACTAAATCTAAAAATTAACTTCAACTCTCATTAGGAACTCACTGGACCTAGATCAGAAATCCAGGGTCTCCACTTTCTGTGGGACGAGATTAGAGTCGCCGTGACGTCACGTGCGAACGAGGCCTATAGGAACGGACGGTTAAGGTTGACTTATACTCTATTATAATCGAAATAGTAAAAAACGGCCATCCATTTCGAGGAAAAAGTGCCTGT